TTTTAATGAAGTAGGAAAAAAGTCATAAACAACGTCAGGGTTTTACAACTGAAAACTTCTGTCTGTGATCTGAGAGTTTTCCCATTTTAGTTTCTATAATGAAGAAATCTTTAAAGCATACTTCAGTTTTTTTTTTTAAAGCAGAGTGAGGTCTTTGCTGATGCTGCTTTGAAAAACAAAACCTCAGGTTACCCAGAAATTTACCTGGAGCCTCATTACAAGGGCCACCCCACAGGGCAAGCAGCAAGGTCCCCATCAGTTTCAGCAGAGCCTGATCTCTCCAGAGCACAGTCCTAAGTGTGCCCTCCCCAGCAGGCACAGGTCCGTCCCCTGCCTGTCGTTCCACTGTCCAAACTGACAACTCGCAGCAATGAGTTTTCCACCATGTACACTGCTGCACTGCAATCTCTACCACGGCAATTCCAAAGACTGCGATGAGAGATTGCAGGATTTTTCACGCAGATCATATTTTTCCCTTTCCTTTCTAACACAGTGAAGTCGACTTAATACACATTCTTGAAAGTCAACAGAGGCAACTGAATCAATAGCTCACCGAGCATGACCTAAGCTCCCCTTCTCTCCCAAATCCCTAGACACGGCAGCAGGTGATGGCAGGTGGGGTCAGACTGAAAGGAAACCCGAACCCCAAACCCAGCCGGTAGGAGCTTCCGTGGTGCTCCTTTCAAGAAGACACAGACTAGAAACAGGAAGGAACTATACCAAGACAATCACCAGAGGAGTGACTAAGTTCCTCTCACCCCGTGACCCACAAGCATGAACATGCAGGTATGTGTTCCAGGCCGAGGAGTGACTGTGGGCACCACGGGCAGAGGCGGAGTGACAGTCTGTACAACAGTAAGACCAGATGCCAGTCTGGGCTCTGCTCCTCTCCCACATCCACAGGACGTTGCTCAAGACACTGTATTCACAGACAGTTGAGAAATCTCAAAAAAAAAAAAAAAAAGAGACAAACACACAACTAACAATCCCCAGGCACCTAGGAAAATGAGCGGCCCGAGAGCAGAACCAAGAACATCCAACTGAAGAACTAGTACCCAAGAAAAACCGCTTAACAGAGCACTTCCAGAAGTGTTAAACCATACGCTTCACAGAATAAATGAAATGTAGCCCAACAATGAAAATAAAATTAATCTTATCTCAGACTTCACACCAGGACCTTAAGAAGCAAAAGGATGACAGGAAAATATCTTCAAAGTCGGGAAGAAAAAGATTCTGAAGATGTATTTCTATACCCAGCCAAGTTACTATCAAAGGTGAGGACATTTTTACACAAAAGACTTGGAGATTTTTTTCACAAATCTTCTCTAATGAACTGCAAACAAAACAAAACAAAAATAATCTAAGTGAAAAACAGAAAGGTCAAGAATCAGCAGTAAACCAAGAAACTGGTAAAATTAACTATTTTTATAGATAAATAAAAGCAAATGAAAAAACTTTCACTCAAAGGAAAGTAAAAGCAAGCTATAGCTGTTTGTAGGAAGGAGGGAATTAAATGAATATCGATTAATTCTAGACATTAAAAGTAGACACTAATACAAAGAGAAATAGACTGCACATCCTGAAAACCACTGAAGGAAATGAAAACTTGAATAGCCCAATACAGGAAAAGGTAATAATGAAGTAATACGGCAAATGAAAAATACAAAATAAGATAGCACTAATAAGTCCAGGACAGTCCAGTAAAAACAAGTATGAATGGACTAAATTCACCTATTAAAAGACTGGCTCACAGATTACAGGCACAAAATATAGCTATATATCATTTAAGATAAACCTAAAACAAAATGACAAAATACGAACCAAGGCAATAAGCAAACAAATAAGTAGCTTCATTTTGCTAAAACATACGGCCCATCATGAAAAATAAATTAAACCTTTATATACTTAACACAGCTTAAAATAACACGTACAAAGCAAAAACTAATTAAAATACAAAATTCACAGATTAAAGGAGGAAACTAGCATAATTCTCCCAGAAAATAACTGATTAGAATAAAAGCATGACACAAAGACACAAATTACATAATTAACAATCTTAACTATGTAGACAAACTTTGCATGTACCAAAAACACAAATATTTTAACCACACAGGGAATAGCAACAAAAATTACTATGTATTAAGCCACACAGAAAATCTAAAGACATTTCCCAAAGCAGAAACCAACCTGGCACATTTATTGACTATAAACTATTAAAATTAGAAGTTACAACCCAATAGCTAAGAGGAAAAATAAAATTACCCACTTTGAAATTTTAAAAAAAGGTAACTTTTGAGTTAAAGAAACAAAACAGTAAAGACAAACTTCAGCAATCAGCAACAATGCCTGCAGAGTGAAACCCCTGAGGTGTTACCCTCTGTTACCAGGTCTGCAGGAGAGGGCAACATACAGCCTTACCTGTGTTTGTTAGACACCAGGACAATGAAGAAAAAAAGCTTCCAATTCAAGATACCAAAAAAGAAAATAAGAAAAGAAACAAGGAACCTCAAAGATCCTAGGAAGAATTAATAAAAATGAAACAAAAAGTAATAATATAGAAAACAAAAGTCTAAACAAAATCAAAATCTGATTATTTGAGAACAAAAAAATAGACAATTTCTGAACTAAGTCTCAAGGTTGAGGACCAGCGCCCTCTAAAAAACTTACTTACAAATGTGAACCAAAGTTGTTTTATTTAGCAACATCTGATAACTTAATAAAATGACAGATTCTAATCTTTGTCCCCAATTTTGCTAAGCATCTGTGGAGAATCACTGATTGATTTTGGCACAATAAACTAATACTACATTAACAGGAAGACAACTGTCCATTTGTTTTTTAAAGCAATTCTGTATTTCAATCACACAATTACACAAAATGTATGGAAATAAACACAAAGAAAATGAACTCCACCCAATTCTACTTTTACAACACATGATAACCATTTATTACACTGGTGATTATCCTTCTGAAAATTTTTTCTTTTTTAAAAACTTATTTAAAGTTCTATTATGCAATATTTAAGATATAAGGGGAGAAAAAAAGAACATCACAATGAACTCCTGCGTATTCCCCACCCAGCTTAGGAAATAAACACCACCAATACAGCTCAAACTCTCTAAACATGCGTCCATGTGTTCTTTATCCTTCGCTGCACATGCTGCACATGCACGCACCCGTAATAATAGACAATACTGCTTTGTATGTTTTACACTTTTATATAAATGTTATAATACTATAGGTACGCATCACTCATTTTTTAAACACTATATTTGTGAACTCCAGCCATGTTGACATACACAGTTCATTAATTTTCACCAAGGTAGTTGCATTGTATGAATATTGAACAATTTATTCTCCTGCTGATGAACAGTCAGTGCTACTAAAAACATTCTCTGAAAATCTCTCGTGTGCATGACTGAGAGCCAGCTTCTCCAGGGTGCATACAAAGGAAGGAGACCTGCCGGGTCTCAGGACGTGTGCATCTTTAACTTTACTAGATATGGACAAACCATCTTCTACAAAGTATAAGAGCTCCTGAGGTTCTATAGTTTCATCTATACTTGGTTTTGTCTGGCTTTAGTTTTTCTCAATGGAAAAGTAAGAAACTACCTCACTGGGGTTTCAATTTCCCTTTCCCTGATTATTAGTGAGGTTGAACATCTTTTTCACGTTGAGACATTTATGTTTTCTCTTCTGCGTATTCCTGGCTTCATTTTCTATTTAGAGCCTCTCCACTAATCAAAAATCTTTTGTTCAGATATTCTAATGGAAGACTTCAGTGAAGCCTGATTATCTGTAGAGGGCAGAAACCACTTATTTGCCCTTTGTTTTCCAGAACACATAGTCCAACATGAAAAGCAGTGTCTTGGTATACAGAGCATTCTGTATAAGATCAGCACTCTTCAGTGTATGTCTTTAATCTCCTGTAACATGCATTTCAAACGATCAGAATGCAAATGGGAGGCTCATAAGTAGGAAGTTTGATATCATGTGCATGTAATAGTAAGGCATATTTTTCTAAGATTAAACCTAAAATGTTAAAAGCTGACCACACCTTCAGATTAACAAACCCTTAAAAGTTAAAAATGAATTCCTCCATGACCTTCAAAACGTGTCTGATCCTAAGGGGACAAAGCTGACACAAGCCGAAATGCAGTAAACACTTCTACCACAAGTAAATAACTCTGACAAGAGACAGAGCGCAAAAATGTGTTGGAGTGAAGGGAGGGGGTGGGTAGTTGGGAATGCCAAGTGCTACCACTATTCTGGAATTCACCACACAGCAAGTACTCTGTGTATCAATTTCCTATTCTGTACAGTGAGATGGACAATAACCACCATATCGGTCACTGTGAAAAGTAAACAGATAATAAGGGAATACAACACTTGTATCTGATCTATTTTACAGATGAGGAAATGAAGCAGAAAGAGATCAAGTACATTGCTCAAGGTCAAAATTAATAAATTATTCCAATGCCCTAATTCTTTTTTTCCCTCAAGCGTATAACCTTGATTTTATTTCCTCTCCCCTCCTCTCCCTCCAACACCACCCCTCTCCCATAACACCAAATCATGATTTGATTTTCAACACCCCAATCCGTCACACTGCACTATAATACCCATAGTACCTTTCCAATAAGGGTTTCATGACTGTTAAAGAGTATTCACAGGAAGGAGACAACTAGAAGAATCTAAGAAGATAGAGAAAGTACCCAGACATTAAAAAAAAATTAAAATTGGGCGGACAAGAGGTTATCTTAAACGGTAACTTGCTCATTTTCCTTTGTGCTGACTAATACACTTTAGACATTAGCCATCTACAGGGTAAAATAAACTGTCAGCTTCAGGAAATAGCATTCATGAAACCCAATCTGTTAACTAAGACCCATTTAACAGATATTCTCTTAGAAATCACTTCTATATAGACAACAACCAATTTGACCTACTACACTCTAGCCAGTAGAATTCAAGAGGGCAAATACTGGAAGGTTACCTACCTACTGCGGGTGCATCATACTCATCACCAAGCAGAATTTCTGGCGCAGAATATGCAAGAGATCCACAGCTTGTAGTGAGCTTCTTCCCTGGTTGAAATTTGTTGCTGAAACCAAAGTCTGTCAACTTTACAAGACCTTGTTTTTCGAAGAAGACCACATTCTCAGGTTTTAAGTCTCTGTGAACCACATGGAGTTTATGGCAATAAGATATGGCATGAACTATCTGAGCAAAGTACTTCTTGGCCAAGTCTTCGTTAAGCCCCTCCTCGTGTTTCATTATGTAATCGAACATGTCTCCTCCATCCCCAAGTTCTAGAATAAGATACAGTTTGGTCTGGGTGTCAATAACTTCATAAAGGCGCACGATGTTGGGATGCTGCACTAGTTTCATGCATCTCACTTCTTGGAAAAGATGACCAGTGGCTAGAGTGTCCAGTTTTGTCTTGTCAATAACTTTTACTGCCACTTTTTCACCTGTAAAGACATGCCTGGCAAGTTTAACCACTGCAAAATGACCTCGGCCCAAGGTTTTATCCAGATCATATAATCCAGCAATCTTCCCATCATACCCTCGCTTGAATCCTGCCATGCTGGTCCAGCAGAAGGAAAAGTATTTAGACTGTCTAAAATGGATCTTCTCATATATCTGGTGAAAATAAGGAATTCATTTTCAATGTCGCCATGGACATCTACAAAATAAGAGAAACAAAATTAAGTTTCCGTGACTTTTCCTTTTATAGCTTCAATTTTTTTTAATTTTGTTTTAAGAGAAGCTTGAAGTGAATATATTGAAACATAAAATGAATCAGGGGCATTTATAATAACCTATTTACAAATTTAGGGTTTTCATTATAAAGGCTGAGAATTAAAATACCACCTTAAGTTTGCAAACTGAAAATAAATCAGTTTGTTGAAAATTTTTGGTTATGTCAGAAATAAGAAAATTGGCAAGTTTGATAAGCTATGTTAAAAAAAATATTTTCCAAAAGTAATTTCAATTAGTGTCTCAAAAAACTCAGGGATGACAAGAAAGGGAAAACATAAAGAATATTCATTTGGACAGAAACCAACTACTTTTTCCTGTTATTCCAAAACTAGCACTATTTCCTATAAAAGTATAACAAAATCCCTTCATTAAAGCCTTCTTCAACTCTCACAGCTGGGATTACCGTTCCTTCTCTGTATCTCCAAAGCACCTCCATCTCAGGTAGTCTTATCCTATAGGTTTTTGTATACACCATCCTGATCCTGAGACCAAAAGAGGACTCTAAGGGGAGAGTAGAAGTAAAAACTAAAACCTAACACCTAGAACAGTGTTTTACAAATACTAGGTAACCAAAATTTTGTTAAATTTTGAAATGTAACTTTTTTCAAAATGTTACAAGGCAACAACTGTTTGCTCTTCCATCTCTAGTGCCTAGAACAGTGTCTGGCACATAGTAGGTGCTTGTGCTCACTCTCTGTGCTCATCAGTTACACTGATCTTAATTATGGTTTTCCCACTCTCACACAAAACCTACTATGACCTGCTTTTATTTCAAGAATAGACAAGCATGCATTCTTAAACCATTCAAGTCTTAAAAGATCATTTACCTTTAAAGACCACATTATATACGGAATTTAAAATTCTCAACCTTTATAGTGTACACCTTAAAATACAGAAATCAGTTTTTATAAATGACCTTGACTCAGGAAAACCAAAAAAAGAATATAATTATATAAATTAAGATATCACTTTAAATCTCACAGACCGAATTCTCACTATTATTCTTTCTGACCAGAAGTTAATAGAATTAAATAACAAAATCCAATGAAGAATACAGCAATCTCCCAGCTCTAGCTCTTTCCTATTAGTGCATATTTATCCCTTCGCTGAAGCCTTTTCTAATGCTCCCAGGACATAGTTTCACATTTTCAGTTACTTTTTGTTAAGAACAGTACTTATATTTACTCCACTTAGATGAAAATATCCCAAAAAACTAAACTGCACATAAAATAATGTAATTTTTTAAGCACTAGCATTAAATACCTTTAAATCTCTTTTTTGCTTAAGAGAAGAACAGAAGAAAGGCTAACATTTTTTAAAAACCTACTATATATATTTCTACAAAATAAATCAAATTGGATTGTGTCACTGGACCTTAACAATCCTAAGAGGTGAATATTATTCCTATTTTACAGCCAAGGAAACACTCTTCCAGGTAAATGCTGAAGCTAAGATTCTTATTTCAAAGCATATACCTCTTATAAACATTTGACCACTCTAAATGATGTTATAGTTAAGATAATAATATCTCAAGAGTTAAAAAACTATAAAAGAGGTATAGTCACTCTCCCGTGCAAATTGAAATGATCCAAATCATGCATCTGGGGCCACCTCAAGAAATATATACAAGATTTAAAAATGTTTAATATGCTTTTTATATTTTAATAATTACTGAAATAACAAATATCAACTAGCATTCACTGAATGAGTACAATATGCTAGTCACCTACCACATGCTTTACATCATCTTCACTTAAAGCTTACAACTGTCCTCAGAGATAGTTACATCGGCCTAAGCTACAGGGCAAGAGTGTAAAAAAGCTGGGGTTTGAACACAGGGCTATCTTGACACTTAAGTCTGTGCTTTTAACCAGTACGCTACAGTGTTTCTGCAAATTATTTTCAGAAACAAAATCCTATTTCTTTAAGATTTTTAAAAATAATAAACCAGTACTATGTATGTACAGGCATTGGAGAAAAAGCAAATTTCTTCTATACTGTGTATTATCCTTGTCATCTGAGCTAGTAATTTTAATGATGAGATTAACTGGAAAATCCAAGTGGAAAGACCTTACTTTATTTGGACAGTAGTTCCCCAAATGAAAGTTTAATTCAGATATTTAATTTTCAAAAATAGAAACGTGAAGCTAACTCCAAGGGGCAGAAAACTATCTTTTAAATCTTTAACTTCAATTAATCATAAGAGCAGTAATTATTCTTAAAATTCTACCCAAATCTATGTTTTTATTGTACAAGCCTGTAAATGCAACTTTAGCTTTCAAAACAAACTGCTGCAGGCTACCCCCAAATTATGTAATACTTTTTTTTTCATCTATCCCTTTAGTTTAGATGTATTCCTGGGAAGTGGCATATAAATCAGACTTCACAAATAAATCTGAGTTTGTTTAAATTTTAATTAATCTGTTCTTTAATTTTAAAAAATTACAAAAATAGTAAATAAAAATACAGATAAGGGAAAAAAGTATTTTTTTCCTCAGATACCCAGGGTCTCAGGGTCTCAGACACCCAGAGTTAATCACTATGAACACTCTGCTGTTTCTCTTCCCAGAACTGCGCTAGCCGAAGGGAATAATGAAATAATTTTTAATCTACTAACAAGTTCATGGGGAAGAATCTTATAGGGTCTCTTCTTAACGGCAGACTACCCTGTAGTGAAATGATTAATAACTCTATCAAATAATTTACTTTTTTTGGTACTCTTGGGTACATATATCCTTTTTTCATTGTCCATGAAACTACAATACCTAAAAACAGGAAGTTACAAGTAACTGAAAGTTGGGAGGAAAACTATCCTCGTTACTGAACATCTTTTAAAACATTAGCCCACTGTCTAATCCTACTATCAGGTATATATTTGGAGGAAATAATTTCTTTGAGGATCTTGCAATACCTGAAAATCATTCTGAACACCAATGCAGAATATTAAGATGTGGCTTATAGAAAGTAAAGGTGACTCTGTACCAGCTCCAAAACATACCCTGCAAACCGCATATTGAATAATCCTTGTTATTACAGTATTTTGTTAGTTGCTTCTTTCTCCTAAAGGAAAATACAAAAAAAAATTAGGTTAGTTCCATTTGCTTTAACTTTGCTTGAAGTTAAAATATAAACCCTACGGCTGGATCCAGACAAACATAAAAGAGGCAAATTTGTCTTCAGTGACCCTGTCTCCCATTATCTCTCTCCCCTCTCAGAATTACAACCCTTTCAAGGAATCTTTAGTCAACAGGAATTTCATAGTGAACAGATATACACAGAGGTTGGTCCAGGCAGACAGGTTAGAAAGATTATTCCACTGGAAGGAGGAGGAAATGATAATGATGAACAACAGTAAATTTGCCATTTTTTTTTTAAATGCCTCCTCGGTAAGAGGCACAATTCCGTACTGCCTTGAATCCTGACCAGCAGCTTGTGAGGTGGTACGATGAAGCTCAACTTGCCCAATAAGCAGCAGTCAGTCTGCAGCTCCAACCCTGCTCAGTCAGGGTTCAAAGCCCAATTTGCAGGAGTCCCTCTGGGCTCATGAAACACTCACTCTAATAGCCAAGAGGGCAACCCATCCAACACAATGTCCTCTAGCAGGCCAGCAGAAATCAACACCAGCACCATGAAACACACAAACATCTTTGCGTTAGAGGCTTTCCATCTGACAGTAAAAAAAAACTCTATGAACAAAGAAAATGTGAGAGGAGCACTGATATCTAAGTTCGTGGCACAGTGAGGGGACTAGGGGGGACTTGCAGGCCTTTCCACAACACTGAAATATCACACAAATAACTGAAAAGGCCTAAACATTCATACCAAGCCAAGGTACTTTACACAATACACCACAGTTGAGTCCATCCAGGTAATCATTAAGCTCAAGCTCACATGAGCTTGGGGAAAGGGAAGGCAAAGAGGTGGAGGAAAGAAGGAAAGGTAGATGGGAAAACAAGTTCACTGCTGGGAATGAGGGGATGAAAAGAGATTGATGACAGTTCTACAGCACAGATGGGGCCAGTAAAGGCACAGGCAGAGGCCCACATCTACTGACAGGTAAACCCTGGGACGCCTACCTGGTCTTTCAGCTCCCAGTGGGACATAGAAGCTCCTCCCGTTACCTGTGCCTGCCTTGCTCTTGCCAACAGCCTCTGTTTCATCCAGAGTCTCTATGGCAAGGTAGTGCGGTAGTCCAGTGTGTCTGAGGACTGGTTCTGAAGGCCAGTGACTGGATCACCTAGCTCACCAGCCACTAGCCACTGGACCAAAGCAAAGCCTGATCTCTCTGTATGGTCAAGTTTTCTCATTAGAAAACATCGGCAGTAAGAGTACCTCATGGATTGTGGTAAGAATTAAATGAGTTAATAAAGCTAGTATTTAAAATAAAACCTGGCACAGAGTAAGCATTCAGTAAATGCTAGCGACCACCATCACTGTTATACTGATGGTAAACTTCCCCACCCAAGCAGAAATTCAGTCTTCCACACTACTTCAAGAAAAGTGAATTTACTGAGCTATCATCTCTCTCGTTTTCAAAAAAATTCTATTGCTCAGTTTCCTAAAATGTATTAAATTGTAAATGGGAGCTGCAGATCGAGAAATTAATCTCTAATTAGGTATCAAAGTCTGATGATTTTTCATTAAAGCATCCCACAAAATCTAAATATTTGCTTTTAAAATGACACTACGATGACATTCTATCAAATCCACCCTTTGAAAAAGGACTAAATACTCCTTTATATTCTTCCTGTCAAAGTAACATACTTTTATGGAAAATATGGAAAATACAGAACAGGAAGTAGAAAGAATAAAGAGGCATTCATAGTCCTACCTCTGAAGCTCGGCACTATTAATATCTTGGTGGTCCTCCTGCAAGTATTTTATACAGCTGCTTCTTTATTTTGTTTTACAAAGGTATGATCATTTTATATATAACTTTATATCTTGTATTCTGCTTTTTTCACCTGACCTATTGCTTTCCTTTTAGTATATTTGTTTTCAGTCATGAAAACTGTGCAGTGTAAGAAAAAAAATACAATCAGAACTTATATTTGGCAAAAAGAGAAGCTTTTAAGAAATCATTCACTATTCTACCCTCCATGATAATCTCTGTTAACATTTTGGTACATAACTTTCCAAATTATTCTCTGTGTATAATATAAGCCAGACAATTTTTTTTTTATAAAATGGGATAACATACACACACATATTGGCGGGGGGTGGGGTGGGGGGGTTGTAACCATTTTCTAAGTATTTCTCTCTGCAAAACAATACAAGTTCACTTTCGAAAATTTGGAAAATGCAGAAAAGCACCACAGATTAAAAACAAACAAACAAAAAAACCCACCTGCAATATCATCTAGGATGACCGCTCTTCAGGTGTGAGTGTATATTCTTTATACGTACATTTCTATACAAAGCTATTGGATACGAAGTCTTAAGACTATTTTTTCCTCTACTATACGAGGCACATTCTTCCACACACTAAGTTCTTCTACATCACTATTTTTAATGACTGCATAGCTAGGACATCTTTTTAAAACAGCAAAACCACTAAATTAGGCCATTCTAAAGTATTATTTAGCATATGCTGACACGTGCATATAACTAGGCTGGACCTAAATGAAAGAGGTTTATAATATGGAAATTCACGTTTGAGAAACAAGTACTGGTGTGTGTTGCAAGAATACACTGATGTTTCTCCAGTTTACTAAAGAGAGCAAAAGCAACTGAAGTGTGCGGGTGTGGCTGGAGAAGAGGAAGGAAGTGTGGGTGGCCCTACACACATTTTGCAAGCTGCTGAAAACAGTTGTAGAACCAGCCTATGTTAAACCTACTGTCAATTTGGAACTCACCCTGTTATTCTTGTCAAAACTCACTTTTAGCTTTTCATTGACATCATCACCACTGCAGCGTGGTCTGTATATCAAACAAAGGTCTCCTACTCACAACTCTCCCCAGGAGAAGCAAGGGCAAAACAGCACACTGAACAAAGGTGGCTCTGTGTGGATAATCATTATGAATCAATCAATGGCATGAGGAAGCAGATGACACAGAAAAAGGCCGTGTGCAAAAATTAGGCTACTTCTAATGGCCTCTCAACACTTTGGGATATTATAAATTTCCCCCCTAAATCAGACCACTATATCCAAACACACAAAAACCTCCCAAATTATGTGCTTTAAAAAAAAAAAAATCCGCGCCAATGCTCTTCTAATACAGACAACTAAAAGATGAGTTTTTGCAAAGCCATGCTAAAACTGTATTTAAGCTTCTTACGCATGTAAATTATCTGGTATCTTTTACAAACACAAAAAATGAAAAAGAAAACCGTAACTCTTACTCATAGGAAATATCAGATTAAACTGTATGTTTTCTTGAGAAAAGCCAACTTGAGGAACTAACACTTTCTCCATGAAAGTTACCACCCTAATCTTACAGCTAAAATTTCAAAGATACCTATAACAAAACAGTATCGGCTGGAAAGAAGACAGCTGACTCAGTCTTCCAGGAATATCAATAACCTCCAGGTCCAGCAAAATAAACACAACCCTACCATGCAGTCACCACCGCTGTTCTTTTCATCCAAAGTAAACAATATTCCACGTTTCTAGAATAACACTCCTTCTCCTGGGAGTTATCAATATAAGCTATAAATCAAAGATGAAGAAACCACAAACAGGTCAACAGGGTCTAAATTACGGAAGAATCCACAGTTCTTCGCTGGACTGGTTGAATATTACTATGTGGGCATCAGGTAGTGTCAGTCTGCAGCTACCGGAGGGAATCAAGATGGAAACTACAAATCAGAAGGTTTCAGTAACTCATTTACTATGAGAAATGTCATAATGGGCAAAACTATACTTCCAAATGTCTAATAAAGTTCTTTCCAAACGAAGGTAACTGCCTATTAAAGTATGTTCTGCAAGTTTTCTTCCAGGGAGTCAATTTTAACGGACTTGGGGCCATTGAGGTGACCAGGAATGCCTGGCTGAAAAGCTTGCTCCAGTGTCTCGAGGCAGTGACTGGGTTGCCAATGCAGATCAATCCCTTAAAGTGCTGGTTTAAGTACCTTCATTTCCTCTAAAACAAGCTACCTTCCACAACGTATCAAGGAATGTGAATGTACTCAGAAGTCAGGCAATCTATTTGATGTAGTCGTACTTAGTATTTGTAGAGAGAAAGGGGTTAATATCTAAGCCACAAAATCTGGACCAGCGCACAGGTAGTAAGTTCAAATTCCTAAACAGAATTGCCTCTTGTTAAAGTGATGAAAAATACTGAGCACGTCACCATTGCTATCTGAGGGTGAGTCTTAAAAAGCAGTTTGGTGACAGCCCTGGTATAAAGTGCCCACATAATAAATAATACTTAAGCACAAGCTGGTGCTTGAAATTACTCCAAAATAAATAAAGCCAACTCATAATTACTCCTTTGCCAGGAAAACAGAATATATATTGGAAGTTATGGAGAATTAAAAAACTTAATCTAAATCTCTCTTCCAAAGCTTTTACTAATGCTCATTTTAACTCCCTATCATCTTTTTTATCCCCTCTGCTGATACTGTGACAAAGATGGTGATGAAAAAATGGTCAAAAAAGAATGTCAGAAAAGAAAAAACTAATCCGTGTACAAAAATACTGGCACCTAACATTTCACTTTTACTTAAAAGACAGAATCATTTGGGGATTCTCTCACATTGCTGGGACTGCAAATTACCTTTCTGAAAAGCAATCTGGCAATGCTTGTATCAAGAGCCTTAAAATAATTAATATCCTTGATTTAGTAACCTTACTACTAGATTTATGTCTTAAAGAAATAAAGATATGAACAAATATTTATATTCAACAATGTTCAGTGATACTCACAAATGCAAAAAAGATTAGAAATAATTGAAAGATCTGCAGTAAGGAGATGGTTAAATAAGTCACAGTATACTTAACATTTACACTATGCTGCTGTATTTAAGCTATTTAATCTCATGGGAAATTGTCACAACAAAATGTTAAGTAAAAAAAAAAAATCACATACCAAGTTTCAAGGCATATGATCCCAGTTTT